CATGGATGCTGCCTGACCCACTGATCTCCAGCAATTTTTGTTTTCAGTACAGATCCAGCATCTGTAATTTGCTCCTGTTTCTAGGCAGTCCCCAGATTGCGAACAGGTTCCATTCTTTAGTCTGTTCGCAAGTCGGAACACAATGCAGGACAATGTAAAAGGAGCCACTCGAACGTACAGGAAATGATCGGATGTCAGATCCTCAAAATTACACCCATATATAGGATTGCACTTGTAAAGTAGGGATTCTCTATTTGGTTCAATTTATACTCAAATCTAGATTTAATGCCAATGGAAGACTCAAATTTAAGTCTGAGGGGATGACATGGTGGCAGAGTGGCGAGCACTGCCACCCAACAGTGCCAGGGATCAATTCCAACCTTGGGTGACTGTGTGTAGAGTTTGTACGTTCTTCCCATGTCTGCATGGGTTTCCTCCCACAGTCAGAAGATATGTATGTTGGGTGGATTGGCCATGCTAAATTGCCCCACAGTGCCGGCTAAGTGAATTAGCCAGGGGAAAATGAAGGGATATGGATGGTGTAGGGGTCTGGGTGGGACGCTTTTCAGAGAGTTGATGCAGACTTGATGGGCCAAACAGCCTCTTTCCACACTGTAGGAATTCTATGATTTAATGACTTAAATATCAGTTCAAATTAAAAAACAAACACCCAAGTATATTCCTGCTTCTTTACGGCAGCTTACACAGTGTCTCTATGTCCTTCCCCATTGGCCCAAAGCAATTTAAAACATGTTGTGGGTTATGCACAATTGGTAGACTTTGGGTTTATTGCCTTCTGTCAGCAGAATTAGGCAACTTCTGCTTGGGGTCCAAATACTTCCAATAGCATCAAGCTCAGTTGCGTTGCTATCCATAATTGGATATCCTGCTAACACTCAGTTGAGGACTACAGACTGGGGATTTGGGTTTGAATCTTAACAGTGACCACGTAACTATTGTAGATTGCATGAAAAACCCATCTGGCTTGCCATCTTTCTCTGGTATGACTTGTATGTGATTCCAGACCCATAGCAACATGGCTGATTTAGAGGGCAGTTAGGGATGGACAAACATTGCTGGCCAACCCAAAGATATCCACAAGCGATGAACTAATTTTTAGAAAAAAAAATTGCGAAGTAGATAGTATTGTTATTATTTGACAACTTTGATTCAATAAATGGAGGAAAAATGGATTTTATTTTTCAGTCCTGCAAAGGAAAGCCAGTTTGAACAGTGAACTAAAGACAGCTTTTATTCAAAAGCATGTGACTGAAGTTAGTAACTTGATTTAATTATTAATTTCTAAATGTTTAGAAAGATGAGTTAGGGCTCTTGTAGCGCAGTGGTCGTGTCTCCATCTCTGGGCCAGGAGACTTAAGTTCAAGTTCCACCTGCTAGAGGGGTGTCATAATATTTTAAAATCAACCTGTTGAGCGATATCTACAAAGTTGAGTGATGATACAGAAACAGATGGTCAGGGACCACCAGTAGGTTTCATTCAGAACAGGTCATCCTACCAGATAGGTAGTTTAAACTTGCAGGACAGGAAAAGAAATGTGAATGAAGAGTAAGCCTTTCGATGTGTTCTGCTATTCAAGAAAACCTGTGTCACCTCAAAACCGGCAGTCCCATGTACTGTGCTAACCTTTCAAAATATCTTAAGCTACTTTAGTCCAAGGAGGAGTGAGAGTCATTTGAATAAGAAATTCAAGATGGTGAAGTTTCACTGGGATGGAGCAACTTTCAAGGAGATTGATGAGAAAAGGATTTAATATTTCCTTTTTTCTGGCCTATGTCAAGATCTTGTAAAAATTTTGATTTTGTGTCATTAACAAGAGTACGACCAGTGACTGACTACTTACTACAGTAATCAAGTCAGTGTTACCATTAGTTGAGATCTTAAGGTAAATAACGTTCCTCGAAATTAAGCATTAAAAAAAAGGTGATAGTGCCAAAGAACCCAAGTCCCTTACAGAGGACTGGTGCTGCTGATAAAAACTGCACTATTACATGTTTAAAATATTGAAAAATTACATCAATTACATACAGGCCAACTTGCGAAGGGATGGAGTAACCAAAACACAGGGTGAAAGGTGATGCAAGGAAGAATATTTTCCACAGGGTAATGGGAATCTGGAATTCTTCCCTGATAAACCCATGTTTCCAACCCAACCAAAAAAAAAGCCATTGAGACAGAGGGTCTAATAAGCATTTCAAAGCGGAGATTAATAAAATTGTTATGACAAGGGTATTAAAGATTACAGAATAAAAAAGATAGCTAGATCAAGGGATAACGACCTATTCTTGCATGGCATTCCCAACGCACACCCATGATCATTGCTTGCACGTACAGAGTTTGGTTGGATCCAGTACGGAACTTGTGATCCCAGATTAGATATGGGCAGTATCCTGTTGTTTTCCAGAGCCACGTGATAAATAACAGAAAATATACATACCTCCTCCTCTTCACTTTCCTCCTGTACAGTTGGAGTCTGTGTGTTTTCTTGGATATTGGCAACAGATTCTCCCTGTACCTTGAATTTCTCTGCAGCAGCCAACTGAGCTTGCTGAGATAAATCTTCAATCTAAGCAGAAACACCAAGTTATTTTCACTGTACAAAAGCCACTTTTAATGTTGCAAGAAAATACCCTTTATAATAGCCTCTGTAGAACAAGAGCAGCACTCAACCAGCATTGGTAGGCATTAGAATGCTGTTACAACGTGGCCCAATGCAAACAGAGTAGTTTCACTGATTATTTCTGATAGCACTAACTGTCAGCATAAGGGGACAAAATTAGCCATTCAGTAATAAGCATTAACAATGTCACAGATTCAAAACAGGACCTTCATTCCAGACTCATCTTGCGAGAAAGTGACCCAAGAGAACCCTCAATATTACAAATTTAAGTTAAATTTACCTTCGCTTCACCAAAAACAATATAGGTATCTGATGCAGGGCTCTTGTAGACATCTGGTTTTGTGATGACAAACAAAATGTTTTTAGATTTTCTTATCGTGACTCTGGTTACCCCAGTAACCTGGCGAAGCCCTAGTTTTGACATTGCCTGTAAAGGAAAACAAGGACGTTCAGGAAAGTTCCAGTTACATCAGTTTTTAACACTTTCCAGTAAAGTAGCCATTTACTTTTGATTTTAAAAAGAAATCTGGATAAGGCACTGACTGTAAATATAGATTTAATTTAATTGGAGGGGCTGCTTAGCAGAAAATACTTGTTTCACATTCTTGGTCTCCAACCCTGCGCCAGAAACCCAAACTGAAAAGCATACAATGTTGCTTCTCAGTAGCTGGTCAGAGAGCAGACAGAAGCTGACTCTCTTCTCTGGTAACCTCTTGATTGTCACTCAAGAACCCACCTGGTGAACAGATCAAGATCATGAACTCAATATTAGGTAACTGTAACAGAACATCCAAGCACCTGCTTTCCATTCTACTATGATGGAAATAAAATAATCCAAGACTTTTAACATGGGCTAAATAAATGCTTTAAATAGTAACCAAAAAAAAAAAAAGGAAGCCAATACTTTCTTGGTATCCACCCATTATAGATTATGCATAAAATGTATTAAACAAGACTCTTCCCGCTTACACAAATTATAATAGACTGAAAGAAAACATGTACTCACTTTCCGTGCCTTCTTTTCACTTCTGCTTTGTTTTGCTTTGCTGACTGGTTCTTCATCTATTTCAGCTGCAGCAGCAAGCTTAGAAATGAGGGAAAAAATTAATTTGTAACCACATTAGGAAGAAAGCCCCCACTCGACAAACTCCACTTAAAGCATACCTATTTCTATTAATCATACAGCACAAAGATAGCTCAGTGGCTGTGGCTGGTATATGGGTTTGTACAGCATACAAATCAGGTTTGACTCACACTGAGGTGGCACCTCATTTAAAGCAAAAAAAAAAGCCAAACAAAACAAAAACAAACACACAAGAATTCCCGTCCATTGGTACCTTCTAGTGCCAGAAAAAGTGCATAATCAACAGGGTGACATTGTTGCTCTTGCTATCAGTCAAGACATGCAACATAATCCCTCCATGCAAGCAGCTACAATGGAGTTTCACAGAAATGCAAAAGCCACACCAGTATATGTTTATTCCTGGAGTCTTAAGATGTCAACTCAGCGAACCATAGTTTTAACATGGTGTTAAGCAAATGCTCTAAATGTTGACAAAAAAGTGTTGTTAAGAACCAGCAGTTGAGGAAACATTTCTGTTTTTAAAGAGAAGACTTGCAAACAGAAAACCGAGCTAGTCTGAGCAAGGATGGTTCTTTTCTTTAATGCTCAAAAATTTATGAAAAGATCTTTCCTACCGCTTCCAAAACTCTGTCAAAATTACGAAAAAAGCTTGGTCCAATGTTCCACAAACAGGCAAAACAACATAGGTCGCCCATTTGAGGGTTCTAGAGTGTGCTCAATTTTGTGGACACAGATTCAGACCAAAGATTCAATCAATAGATGAGAGAGAGCTTGGAGACTCAACTATATTGCAGTTATGCGCATGATTTGTGCTCAAAATTCTTCTAAGCCACAATTTATTGACATCCACATCCAAAGATGCATCCAGGCACAAAGGCAGAGGAAACTCCAAGCCACAAATTGCAGCTGGGTACAGCCAGTACTGATTGCACCTTTAGCACATCATACTACTTTTAAGAGTAGAAGAGACAAAACCATCGATATTTTTCCCCCCCACTCACAAAAGGAAACTCGCACAATTGTCTCAGACAACTTTCAGCCTTTATTGATTCAGGAAGATACAAGATCATTTTACACAGTTCGCATTAGTGCAAAGGTGCATTTAACTACTTCAAACCCTTCCCACAAAAGTGATTCAGCATTTAAATTCCACATTGCAATTTTTGTTCAAAATAAACATGCAGATCCCCTTTCAGTTAAGGCGGCAATACGACAAGCAAGCAAATAACTGGAGCCAAGTACACGAGAGAGTGACAATGTGGCACGTGAATGACCTTGTGAACTAAAAGGAATTATATGCTTTCAGCATAAATAGGAGCACGAGTTCTGGTATTTAGTTTGGCAGCATAAAATCCATATATTCAAGTGGGTCAAACATGGACAAAAGAACCTGACACTAAGCAAATTAAAATTCTCACTATCAAGGGGCCCTACAAAACTGAAGTCAACGGGAATCTTTGCAAATCTTATTGCAGTTCACACCTAGCATAAAGGAAGATAGCTGCAGTTGATGGAGGCCAAGCATCGCATTCCAGCCCAAGCATTGTTGCAGGAGTTCCTCAGGATACTGTTCGGAGACTCAACCAGCTGCTTCATCGATAGCCTTACATTCAACACAAGATCAGAAGAAAGAGAGATGTTCGCTGATGACTGAGGAGTGTTCAGGACCATTCATGACTCCTCAGAAACTAAATCAGCCAGTGTCCATATGCAGCAAACCTGAACAACATTGATGCTTGGGCCATAAAGAGGCAAGTAACACAAGCAACATAAGCACCAGACCAGACAATGACCATCTCCAACAAGAATAAAAAGCCAACCACTACCACTTCACCCAATGGCATTACTTTTGCTGACCTGCTCTATGCTCCTGAACCCCTCTTTAGTCACCATCTACAAAGCACGAGTCAGGAGTCTAATGGAATACTCTCCATTTGCCTGGAGTATAATTCTAGCAAAAGACACTTTTCTAGGTCAAAACAGTCTACTTGATGGGCACCCTACCCACCTCCAATATACACGATGCAGTACAATAACTCACCAAGGCTCCGTCAACCTTACTTTTCAAATCTACAACCTCTACCACCTAGAAGGAGAAAGGCAGATGCAGTGGAACACCACACCAGCAAATTCCCCTCCAAATCAGACACCAGCCTAACAGCAATATCACCGCTCCAGTCTTGTCAATGTATCAATAACCTGAAACTCTTTTGCCAAGAGCACCTACACTGGATGGACTGCAGTGGTTCAAAGCAGCAGCTCACCAACTAAAAGACAGTAACTAGGGATGAACAAATGTCAGTGACATTCATATCCCATGACGGAATAAATAAAAGATAACCAAGCTCTCTGTTTATGGAAGAGTCATTTAGAGGAGTTCATAAAGGGCAGCTGGCACCCAAACCACACTCCAGTACGAGCCATGTCTTCAAAATATATGGCAAAGTGATACAGTGCATGCTTCTTGGCAGGGGTGGGGGTGTTTGGAAATATACCCAAGCAAAAAGTGTTAAAACTGGAGGAAGAGGGATCTGTACATAGGACTTTTACTGTAAATATTCACATATTTGCAGACACACCTGAGCTTGCTGTGTCGCTGACTGCGTTGTATCCTGTTCCTCCAGTTCTGGTACCGACTCATCGCTGTCCGACTCTGTCCCAGACCCTACAAAATGTCATATATTTAATACAGCACTCTGTACATTTTCTATGTTTGTGGCACTTTAGTGACTTTCAGAGAAATTGTGGTATTCGTCTGGAAAAAAGTGAAGAACATCACTTAATCGTAGTTACCATAACCATGTTTATCAAGCAGCCATGCTAAGGTGGAGAAAAAAAAAGTGTGAACTCGTGCACTAAAGCTTTAACCTTGTACAAGAATTTTATTAAAAAAAGATGCAACATTAACATGTTGATCTATTTCTACAAAGCCTTAAGCAACAAATCTCAGAACCCAAATGGTAACTGTAAAAGAAATATGCCTTTGCAGCATTACAGAAACTTTTCACCTTAAATCTGTTGTAGGCAACGGAGAAAAACAGATCTGGATATTACAATGCCATCTACTGGTTATGCTTTCACACCATGCAATAAAAGCAATTTAAAACAAAAGGTTAGCGTGAACGTTCTTGGTACCAGTCAACACTCCAACTTATACAGGTGCTGTAAATTCTCCATATTTGTACCTGCAATGCTCATCCTGTGCACAGAAAATAGGCAAACTTGCAAAACAATCTGGATTTAAAATAAAAGATTACTCTAAAGTTTGCCTCAAGCTTTGGGTATGAAAGGTGCTTAATAATCATTAGATTTTAAAGTACAAGAACCAGAATGTATTCCAAATATTCACAGGTTGAGGGAGGCAGGCAGGCCAGTTTTAGCATGTGAGACAAGACGTTAATACAGATTAGATTAGTGTACCAAGTGTCTATTAACGTATTAAAACCAGTTCATTCAAGTGTTAAATGCCACTTGTAAAACAAAACCACAAATAAATAAATAAAGTGGACACCATGTTTCCATTAATATGCAAGCTCTAAACACCTCGTGGACAGTTGAAATTTGTACATTATGTAGTTGACCTGTTCCAAATCAGACAGCAAATCCTCAATGAAAATTGATTTCAAACAACAACTGTTGTGATTGATCAATTCAAAGAGGACATGCAACATTCAGGAGTAACAACTTATCTTTCTTCCATCCACCCTTTTTACAAGATTAATAGTTAATGCTAACGATTAAGAAATTATGGATTACACACTTTACATAAAGTACAGATTTCATACCACATTATCTTCCTTTGCAAAAGGACAGGCTAACTTTAAGTTCCCCATACACACTGGAGGATAGAAAACAAACATCCACGTAAAATACTCCTCCAGAACAGAGCACTGTACTTAAAAGTTAGCCGTCCACAAAATGTGAATTTTTATAGGACAAGCCTTTACTTCCCAGCTCAAATAGGCAGGACACTACTACATGCACACTTCAACCAAACTAAATACCCTCATCATTCTGCTTCACCACAGGCTCCTTTCCAGTTGAAGCAGTCTTGGGAATTGCCTTCTCAATAACAGATGGGGGAGGACCTTCACAGAGGGGAGTCTCGTCGATGGCAGAAATCAATGGTGGCATCTCATCATCATCAATTTGAGCAGCTGAAGATGATTCAGGTGATGGGGTAGTGAGTTGAACAGAGGCAGATGGAAGAGTGAAAGATGATGGAAAATCAGTGACAGGTGTAGATTCTGACAATAAAGAAAGTTCAGTGGATGAAGGTGTTTCATGAAGAGAGTAATCAGGAGCAGGCAAGGGAGGCTGAAGCTGTGCATTAACAGAAGGATCAAGAGACAGAAGCAAGTCAGTGCACTGAACAACTTGGTCAGATGAGGTTAACTGAATGACAAGGGGGGGTAATTCTGAATTAGACGAGTCAGGAGACTGAAGCAGTTTAACGGGTGACACTGCAGTCAGTGCCTGATCAAAAGCAGGCATAGGTGGTTTATCAGCAGAACGTGTTGTTTTGAGAGGCACAGAAAAATCAACTACAGGGAGAGGGGACAGATCAGGCTCAGTGGCTGCACTGATAGCTGAAGATGGCTCAGTAATACAAGTAGGCATTGCAACTTGTACCTCAGTTGCCAGAGGGGCTAAAGGATCAGCCAGCAATTCATCTATTGCAACATCCAGAGAACTAACTGACAATGGCAGGTCAGTGGTAGCAATGGAGGAAATTGAAGGGCCATCTGCTGAAAGCAGCCCATCAGTGGCACGGGAAGCAACGAGATTGGTGGATAACTGTGCAGTATCTATAACATCTGCCACAGTTTGAGCTGAAGACAGTCTAGAGGAAACAACTGTATCAACAGGAAAAGTCAGGGTGGCGGAATTGGGGGCAGGTGACAGTAGACCAACAGCACTGACAGCACCAATGGATGGCAGCAAATGACTGGCAGAATCATTGGACGATGGCAGCTGGCCAGTAGCTGCATTGGTGTCAGTGGGCAATAGCAACTCATCAGCAGCATCAGTGGGAGGCAAATGAGTAGCAACATCAGTGGGCGATGGTGATCGATTGAGAGCATCAAGAGATGGAAACTGACTGTTAATACTGGCAGCATCAGCAGATGATGGCAAGTAATCAAGAGCGTCGGTGGGCAATGGTGGCGGGCCAGTAGTATCAGCAAGTGATGGTAACTTACTGGCAGTTGATGGTGATTGACTGAATTCATCAACGAGGGG